AATCTTTATCTCTAATGCATTACAGTTAAATCAATGTTATAATTGCTCATAATTACAGTCAAATCGCACAGTGTGTGCAATTAAATTATTGGTGGAAAACTAAAATTGCCTCTGGAAAAGTTGGAACAAGTAAAAAAAATATATATATTAACGTGATTATTTTCATTTCAACTTGTGACTCAGTTATCTTCATGTGCTGGTTGATAATATATATATCTATACTGCTGTGTTTAAAAAGCATACTAAAACATACTGGCGTTACCGGTTACTGTTACACGGCTCTCTTCAAACTGTATTTCGCATTAAATCTTTGACATAATCAATCACCAAATGTTTAAATGTAAACATTTAAACATTTGTTAAAGTGGGTGGATATAATTAAATGTCCAATACTGGCAGATAAATATCCAGTAATGGCTGATTCCGATAAGGACACAATGATGTATGTCACTGGCTGTCCTCCCATGTGAAAGCTTTAGCTTTACACTAACTAGAGAAGACAGTGATTCACCTCCAGATAATCCAGTCTGTTAATCCATTTACCTGCTTTAAAAAGAGCCCGAGGCTTGTGCACTCTCTTGCACTCATGGCTCAGAACATGCACGTTTGCACAGCTCCCAATATAGGGAAACCTTTTATTGTCTATGGTCTTATCTTGTGTGTATGTCCTTGCCCTAAAATGCTCTTCATACAGTTTGGAGGGCTGTTGCTGCAGACCAAAACAGAGCCCCACAATGTCCAACGTGATCTCGTGACTATTTACTTTACGTAAAATGTGGTGACATATTGACGGCATCTAAAATGTTAATAATTATGTATGAACTTTAATCATTATTTAATCTATGAATATTTAATGGAATTAATCAGCTGATTCTATTGAGATTGTTTTCAGTCTCATTTATTAAATGCAGTCAGCTCATTTACTTAATTTGAAATTGTAACATTTCATTCTGTTTTGTGTGACGTCTGGTGCCAGCTCTTTTCAAATTTAATAGAAAAAGTCTTTAACTGAATTCTTGCGATTGCTTAACCATTACTTTGCGATATTTGTTTTGCTTGCTGTGGGATACAGCAGGTCTCTGAGAAAATATGTAAATGTGAAATACTGCATACATTTGCCATTATTCTGTTAACCATATTCATGACATTATTCTTGGTGGTTTGGTGCAGGAAGAGGGGGGAAAAGCTGTAAAAATCTAGTTTTCACTTTTTGCATATTTGTTCAGTGCTCATGCAAATAAAGTTTTGCACACACACACACACACACACACACACACACACACACACACACGCGTGTTTTACATGAATAGGCAAATGAATAATGTCCTGTCCAAATGACTAATGTCCTGTCCAAATTACAACTTGATAACACAAAACTCAGCATGGATCAATGGTTGAAGGGATGCAATTTTCCAACTTTTATCATCACTAATTCATTACAATGGAATTTGACTTCTTGGATTTGCTTTTATCAGACATGTCCCTTGCACTTTACCGCTCAAGGATGGATGTACAAAACACTTTAATCTTTCAAAACAAAATAAAACATTATAAAACCCAATAATCTTACAGTTCAATGCAGTAACATACTAAATTACTGATATAATATTTTGACTAAAGAGCCAGAAAAGAACTGGCCCCCAGGTATAGCCTTGTTTCTGGTGAATCCTGGTTTTCCTAGGTTTTTAATTTTCTCATTTCCCAAAATCAAATGGATTTATTTTTATTTTTTGCTCATTCACACGAGTGACAATTGTGTATGTGTTATCAAAAACACAATCTAAGAGAAGCACTTATGCTTCGCCAATGCCCCTGAGATATTTGGCCTGCTAAATATCTGGACCTGTCGGAGACCGGTCCAGATGTGAATACAACTGACTTGACTTGAGAGCTGCAGAGTCTTCATACAAAGAACATATTTAAGAAAAAAACTATAGAATAACAATATATTTCATTCACTGTTAATATAAATCTATAGAATCTAATAAATAAAATTCAGGTAACAACTTGCACTTAACTTGTTTGGGCAGATTTCATTCTATGTTTTGAGTAAAGACTACCTAGATTTGGCATGACGAAACTTAGTCGATTTACTTGTTACCATATTAATACTATATAGTCACTGTGTATATATATATATATATATATATATATTTTTTTTTTTTAATTCTCCATGACTTGTTGGACAATTTCAAGACAAACTTTGACAACAAGACAAACTTTGCTGTCATCCGTTCAAAACTGCTGAAAATTATACCATTTTAGGATGAGTGGTATTTATTTCTCCCCTATTGCAATACTCAACTGTCTGTTTTAGGATATTTTGAGATAAAAACAAATCTGTGGTTCTTTTATGTGTGTCACACTAAAGGACAGAAATGATTGTTAAAAAAGTATTTCTATTTAATTTTGAACATGTCAAAGGAAATAGAAAGTTTAATTTTGATACAAACAATCAAAATTAGTCTCTTAGTCAATGTTACTGAAACTCTTCTAGCACCCCGCTGCATGTGTGGCACAGCTAAATATGACTGATATTCAAACTGTATTCATTAAGATGTGAATTACATTTTTTTAACTATATGGCTACTCTTTTTAAGGCATCATTTTGATTGGATTTACTTTCTGCATCGTTCTCTTAGGATCTCCTCCCTTCTGCGTGGATCCCTGTTAATTTTCTGTCTATATTTCCATGTCCTCTTTCTTCCACTAATTTCTCTCCCTCAATTCTTTCTGTCTCAAAAACTAAGTATCACATTTTATACTTATTTTCATGACACTTTATAACAGTACAAGTTTTCTGCAAAAACATCAGAAAATAGTTTAATTCATGTAATTATTGCATTTAAGAACACTGAATGATCAAAAAATAAATAAAAAGGAGTTAAACAAATCTTATTTAATTATGTAAAATGCTTTTTAAAGAGACCTGGTGTGACATCTTTGTCCTATGGTGTGACGGTACAGGCGTCACACCGGAGGACATTTTCTGTCACACCAAAGAACGTTTCAGCCTTTTGAGTCAATTAATGACCTTGCTATTCCGAGCCAACTTGTCGTTAGCCAACCATTAGCGGTTAGCAAGACACATTTGCATAATTTTGCATGATTATGTAGCTTAACACAGTTTTCAATTAGAAAATATAATTTAAGGGTGTCGCACCAAAAGACAACAAGACATAACACTTGTAGTGGTTCCAAAAAAGTTAAATATTTGAACAATTCTGAGGCAAAAACGTACCATGTGCACGTCATGGGCTTCAGTAATATGACCATAAATTGAGTCCTTCAACTAATTAAAGTTTTCTCTGGAATTGGAAATATATGGATGAAAAAAATTATTGCCATTTACTAAAATAGACACTTGTACAATTATGCCGGAGGTATTTTTTTTATGCTTTTCTTTTTCATTTATAAAAGTTGTAAGTTACTGAACCATGCTTGGGACAGTCAAACCATAGGACAATTTTGAGATTTGGCTAAAAAAAACAAAAAAAATGTCAAATAACACTGCGTGGTTCCAAAAAAGTTAAATATTTGAACAATTCTGAGGCAAAAACGTACCATGTGCACGTCATGGGCTTCAGTAATATGACCATAAATTGAGTCCTTCAACTAATTAAAGTTTTCTCTGGAATTGGAAATATATGGATGAAAAAAATTATTGCCATTTACTAAAATAGACACTTGTACAATTATGCCGGAGGTATTTTTTTTATGCTTTTCTTTTTCATTTATAAAAGTTGTAAGTTACTGAACCATGCTTGGGACAGTCAAACCATAGGACAATTTTGAGATTTGGCTAAAAAAAACAAAAAAAATATCAAATAACACTGCAGCTTTTATAACAACAGGTCCATGTAGGACAAAGAAATGTTTAACAATTTACTGCATTTTAAATAACAACAATATTAATTATATTCATTTTCATCTCATGGGACAGTGAAAATGCCATGTCACATCAACAACCCATATATATACATGTGCATAGACTAATAAGAGCAGATGAGAAGCACATGGCGGAACATGTGAGAGACGCTCTGGATGAAAGCGCACTTTCACTCTCTGACTGCAGATTGCTAAACTGCAGAAATAATAATAATAATAATAATAATAATTCATTTAAATGCAGCCGTTACCCCGGAAACCCTGTAAACAAAGCAGCTGCACTACTTTCTGTTTCTGAATCGTGTTTAAATGATTTAAACAGCCATTCAGATTTGTGTATTTGCTATGATGTTCATCACAGCGCCAAATACTTAAATATTTAGACTTAATAGGCTATTTATTTTCAAACTTTTTTTACATTTTAATCTGGACTGCAACATGCCCTAGATATTGTTTGAAAGTGTTTTGATTCTTTATTGTTTGGTCACACTTTACATTAGGGCTTCATTAGTTAACATTAGTTAACAAACTGCCAATGAAAAATTCTTCTGAACATTCAATAATCTTAGGTATTCCAATATTTAATAACAGGTTGTTAAAATCGAAAGTTGCAACTGTGTTATTTAATGAACATCCAATTTCTCAAAGTTAATCAGTCATTTAGACAAATGTGTATGTAGTTTTGCACATCCCTATTGTGAAGTAAACAATACATAACATACAATACAAAACAATACAAATTATCAAACGTTTCTTAAGAAACACAACAATAGATACATGGTTTTTGTAGCCTGTAGTCTATAGACTTTGCAGTTTCTCAGTTGAGACGTTCCTGTGGGCCTCATTCTCACTCCTCACTTAACATCAGTGCTAGAAAAGCAGTTTTATCGTGTTACAACGTCTACTAGTTATTTGGTACTTGAAACCTTCTAACCAGCTCTCTTGTACACCTCTACAGGTGTAGTTACAGAAAAAAATAAATGTTAAATGTTTTTGACTGAATTGAATATTCTAGTATTCACAGCAACAATGAACAAAACACATTAATCATCTAACAGCAAAAAATATCATCTAAAAAGATGTTCATGATAACCATGAGAGTTGAGTCTTACCGTCACCCATTGGGACGTCATGGGCCGTGCTATGGGATTTCTCTGGCATGGCACCGAGGCCTCACTCCTGTAAATCAGATTAAAATATGAAGTCAACATCTCTGAGCTCCATTACACTTAATGCAGTTATTCATCAATATGTTTTTTAATTTACATAGGTTACATACATTTTGGTTTCTCACTGATTAATATTATGTGCTAATTGATCTTTTGAAATCTTATTTAATACTGTCACACTAATTGGGATCCTCATGGTTTTTGTCTCTGACATATATTGTCCTGATATAATCACCAGGTATATAGCTTTGATTTGGATTCTATTAGTGAATTTGTCTGTCATTAGTCAATTAATTAAAGAAAATTAAAGAGAACTAAAGAAAAATGCCTCACACTGTGGTACAAAAACCACACCAATGAGCTTAAGAAGGCTGCTCGGAAAATGAAGTGCAGGAGGAGTACAAACTTCGAGGTTATTTGAGGGGCATGGAGGGAATAGTGTCTCTAGCTATGGGCTCTGAAAGCTGCAAGAACCATATTTCAACGCTCTCATAGAAAATAACCAAAACAATCCTAGGATGCTATTTAGTACAGGCTGACAAAAAACAAAGCTATGACAGAACCTCATATTTCCCCACAGCATAGAAGTAATAATTTTATAAATGTCTTCAAAATGTCATGTAACAGGAAGAACTAACAACACTTATCCAATCCTCAAGGCAAACATGTATGTAACTAATGAAAATTCTGCTTCCTGTAATCTTAGAACCTCTTCTCCTTATTATCAACTCATAGCTTTGCTTAGAGAATGTCACAAAAGTTTCAAGTTGGCAGTAATAAATGCCAATATCAAATATTCACTTTTATCAAAAATATATTTTTTAAAGTTGTCATCACAACTATATTTATAACTGCAAAGAAATTATATTTATGAAGAATTTTAGTCAGAATTTAGGCCCCACCACAGTTCCGAGACTGCACTTGTCACAGTAACAAATACCCTGTTCATATCATCTGACTATAGCTGCATCGCCCTGCATTGTGGGCAGGCATTAGCATGGTTTATATCCTCGCTATCAGTTTATTTGTGTAAATTAAGAGATGTCAGATAAAATAGGTATGGTAAGTTAGGTATGGAATGCCACAGGTGTCAGTATTAGGCCCCCTGCTTTTTCACTGTACAGTAAATGTTCATTCAGTATGATTATATTAGCCCAAAATGATCACCTCTACATTGGTTACCTGTCAGGTTTCATATCAGTTTTAAAATGTTGCTAATTACTTACAAAGCCTTGAACATCCTAGTTCTGCAGTACGTATTCAGTCTTTATCATGCTTTAATCCCTCACAAAATTCTGATTTGTTGACCCAAAATTACCCCAAATAAAGTACCACAAAGGAGGTAGATCCTTTCCTACCTGGTTCCTAAACTCTGGAATAGTTTTCCTTGGACTATGCAAGACTCAAAACACACTCTACGTTCACATAATGTTTCTTTTTCTAACTGTGTCATTTGTATAGGCTGTTATATTATAAATATAGAGAAAGTTGATTCATAACAATAAGCAAAAATTAACTGCACCAACAGCCAGGACAGCTAATTAATCCTATGATGGACATATGGAAATAAATCTACTTCCTCTGGTTCAGGACAGGCCATAAAACAAAGGGAACATGAGGAACCCACACCCAGTCACCATTTCCTTAGAAACAAATGATTCTGCCAACCAATATACCCTGTCATTTATCCTTTTGTGTATGTGTGGTCATTTGTTTGACCTGTCAGCAGTCAGCATGTGTGTATATATCAGCATTTAAGTCTGCTCTTTCTGTGAAGATATCTGCAAGCATTTTCTCTCCCACTAGTTTTGTATGAGCACTTGTAACTGCTGGGATGCTTTTGAGTGTCCATTAATGATTTCCTTCTATTATCTGACACTGAGAGTAAAAAGCTTGCTTAGATCAGCACACAGCTGTGATCTGACCTCTACATGTTGAAACCAAAGCCCATTCCCCCACTCTAAAACTACAGTATTGGCTAATGTCTAACATAAAAGCAGTACAGAATTTTCATTGTCATCATCAATGCCATACAGCAATTCTTAAAATACTTAGAATAATGTGTGCATGTCTTCTCGTCTTCATATCACACTTTAACTAGCAAAAATCTCCTGTGTCTATCCAGACCATTTACTAAAATTAGGATCAACAATGTTTTTGACACAACACGCTCTATAACATACAACAATTTTGCTTCTGTACTAAATGTACAGTAGCAAAAACAGCCTGTTTAATTGTAAGAAATTAGGGAGAGAGAGAAATGATCAATACAACTAAACTATAGTGCTATTTCAGACTAGACAAGATCGTATGTATTTCACAGACAATTTCCCATTTTCTCATCCAAATGAAAGACAACAAAATCAGTAATAAGTCCAATTATGGACTGCTCAGAAAGTTCAGATGTTTCTTTTAGATCCTAATTAATTCCTTCCTTTAATTATATACAACGTAGACTTGTGCCGGTATTCGGTAATGCGATATGCACGATATTGTTATCGTGGGCACTTCTAAATACCGTGAATAATTATATATTACAAATTATTCTGAATTTTGAATGCATTTCAAGAATACTTTTCCCATCAACTGGTCAAAATGCACAACACCGCTGTATGCTGCGTGAAAGACGCGTGCGCACTCTGATGTAAATAAGCGCGGACGAGAAGCACACGGCGGAACATGTGAGAGACGCTCTGGAGGAAAGAGCACTTTCACTCTCTGATAGCAGATGCCGCTAAACTGCAGAAATAATAATAATAATAATAATAATAATTCATTACACGCAAGATAAAATGCACTTAAAGAACGCTTGGTTTATGAACTGACGTCAATGAAAGAAACACACTTTCTAGTGTCAAGTTAAAATAAACCATAACTGCGGGGAACTGTGGTCTATTAAAACATCTCTTGATGTTTACTGGATTTTAGAATTTACTTTAAGAAACATCAGCTTGGACAAAGTGTCAGGCTTCAGCATTCGCTGTGGCCGAAAACACTCGCTCAGCGCACGAATTGTTGTTTCAACAATTCGTTTCTATGACGTCAGCAGGTTTTATTCTTTTTTTAATTAATTTATTATTATTTATTAATTTTAAGTAATAATGATTTTAATAAGTAATTACGAAATATAATAATTCGTTCCACGATTTAGGCCTACTAAAACTAGGGAATGAACGAATTAACGAACGAATGAATTCGTGGCAGCTAAGCCTAAACAAGAGAACAAATACTTAATTCGTGGCCATAATGTAGTCCTAGCATAAAAGAGAACTAGCCTATTCTAAATTCGTTGGCCGTGATTAATTGTCTGCATGTCATAATCGGGGCTCCGTACAACCGAATATAACCTTAGCCTACCTGTTTATTCATTTATTATGGTATGTAACTAGCTCACCTTTTGCGGCACCATGTTTTGCGTAGCACATCCTCGCGCTTCAGATTCCAATATGAATCTTTATTAACTCTCCCTGCACTCCCTCTCAGTTTCTTCTCCCTGCTCATTCTTAACTTAGATTTTTTACTTTACATTAATGTATAAGGCTTGCAACTTCGTTGAAACAATATCTGAACTCCATAACTGCTCTACTATTCTCGATCTCTACAGATTCTCTATCTCGAACAAGCAAATCACCAAACGGCATTCTGGGTTGAGCGAGCGGCGCTGAGCGTTTTGAGCGAGCGGAGCGGAATCTTCAGAAAGGCGCTCTGCGCTCTTAAGGAAATATTACCACTCCGCTCCGCTCACATGCTCTGCTTGCAAGTCAATACATGCTTGCATGACTATCCCAGGAACAAAAATGTCTTGCATGGCGGTATACTTGATTTTATGCAATCTATGGGTGTATCTGAAAAAAAAAAAAAAAAACCCTAATTAGGAGGTACATACTTTCAACCCAGTAGTGTACTTTTGTAATCCATTTGGAAGCTTACACCCGTGTCAAGGGCTTGGTAACACCCTTGCTTTAAGTTACTCATTCCCATGTTGTTCCAAACCCACAAGAATTTTGTCCTCGACAATTAAAGTCGATATTTAAAAATCCTCGAATTCATTTTGCTTGCGTCGACTAATCGCCAAAATACCGGAAGTGGTGCATTTCACAGACGAGAATCTATAAAACACATTATTAGTCTGTTTTCTAAGGCTGCATGATATATTAAACCCATTTAAAAATAATATAATTAAGCATAACTGTGAATTCACAAATGCTACAATTTAATTAAATAATTATATGCGATGCAGTTCTATTACAGTATATGCGCTTTAATTATTTACATGCGTGTAAGTTAAAGTCGGCATGAAATGGAAGTTGCGATTGTCATTTCTTCTCTGCTGTGACATATATCCGAGTGAAACGGCATCTGAGAGGGCGGGACTTGATTTCATCCTTCGGGAATTGATTGGATCGTTGGAAGTTGGGGCGTTGCTAACAAAATGGAGGCAGTTCTGAATGCCAGTTTGCAGTTAACGTTAGTTGTGGGGGATTTCTCTCCACTGGATTCACCGCCGACACCCTAGCATGAATAAATGTTTTTTTTGATTGAGGATGATGATGACGATCAACGGCACAAAACATGCCTAAACAGCGCACAATGCGAGAGAGAGAGAGAGAGACTGCCTGAATGACTGAGCGCGTCCTCCATCAGGTTAAGTCATATTCATGAAAAAAAAAATCATTAGTTTGCGATATTCTAAGAGTAATGTCGTAATATCCTAATATCTTTTCAATGTTTAAGGGTAACGTACTCCCTTATGACTGGTGTCAGTGCTATAAAGTGAAGCATCAGCTTCAGCTTTTCCCCCTGTCGTTTATCCCAGCGTTTACCCCTCACGTCACTAGATCCGCCCTTGCGCCATAGCTCGTGACCGGAAGAGTAGAGGAGTTGTTTTGAGGGGGAGGGAAGATTAACGTTTTTGATTAAAGATTACGAGGGCACATGAATTTGAAAAAAAATTATGAATTGCACGGATAAATTATTTATAATAAACACTGCAGTATTCCATCAAAAAAT